TATATATATATAGGATTTTGATGTCACTCTCTTGTGTCTCTGAGGAAGAAAACTGCCTGGAGAGAGCGTCTGATTTCAGTTATGTTTTAAATAAGTGCTCATCAGATAATTTAAATGGGTCATGAAATGTTTTGTTCTGAACCACACAAGCAGCAATAATCTTTGTTTTAGTTTCAGAAGAGCACAAGTTCTGAAACTAACACTTTCCTTGATAATTTATTTTCTAATCTAACCTTCCGGAGGGCGGACCATAGATTCTCTAAGCTTTTAGGAACTAACAGTTTCCGCCCGTCCAGTGGAAAAAAAGAGAGAAAGAAAGGTGAATGACCAACGTCAGTCACTGTGGCAGCTAGATTCTCTCCGGGGAATCAAAAGCTGAACACTGTGTCAGGTTTGACCCCTTCATTGCCAACGGTTGAAACCTCACAGTGTGGGAAACCAACGCTTGGTTTATCCACTTCAGAAACTCTCCAGACGGAAGTTTTGTCCTGAAACCTGGGTTCATGTTGAGGCTTTGCCTTCTTTTTACGGCGGACGTGGACGTAAACGAGTCAACAAACCATGCCTTGGGGTCCCCTGTTCAATGGACTAAAGACAGATTCTCCAGCTGCGCCCCTACCTACCTGGCAGGTGACAGAACATCATCTCAAGGTAAAAGCTGGCTGTGTGTGACGTCGAGGTCTGACTGAGGCTGAACATAGAGTGCTTCGCCCTTCTGGTTAAACCCACATTATTTAAGATAAAAGTATAGAAAAGCAAACATCTTTCTTCCACTCTTTTTTCTTAACCTTGTCCTTGCCAACTCCTAAGATAAACAGCCTCAAATGTCTGGTATTTAACATCTAAACTGACGTTTGTGTTTCTATTTAAGTGTGGTTAACAATTAAGAAGTTAAAAGCTTGTTATTGTTGGTCCCAAACTTTTATAGGAAATTAATTGTTCATAATCCGGTTTACTCTAGTCAATTTTGTATGATTTGTAAAATAAATGATCGCATATTATGGTTCAAATCAACATTCACTGACTGAGAGTTACTTTTTGTGTCCATTCATTTTTGCACTGAAGAAATATTTACCCAAGATAAAAGAGATCCTTGCTAATTAAATTACTCTTGTAACCTTGTTATAAGAAGTGTAAGCCTAAACCCTTACAAATGGTGGAGAAATGCATTCTTTTAGGAATAAATATTACTGTTTGTGCAAAATATTGAAGTTAAACTGCTGGTTGGCAAATTGTCTTGGCTGACGGTGTTCAGAAAAATACAGGTTACTGCAGGCTTGTTTTCTGTCATTATAGCACAAAAAGTTGCTATTTGAAAAGAAAATAAAAAAATAACTTCTAAAAAGCTGCTGATCAATGTGTTGAGCTGTCAGTGAGCTGACGTCACGCAGCGGCTGTTTATCAGGTTTACAGGTGGAGGTCGACGTGAGCAAATACAATTGACAAACAGAGGCTGAGGCAGAATATACAAAAGGTAAGTGATTTTATTATACAGGTGCTGGGGATTGGGGACGGGAGCTGAAACAGAGGTTTTTGCAGAGGTGAGTATATGTAGGTTATCCAGTAATGGTTCTTAGCAGGTATGTAATTCAGAGGGGTTCTTACAGGCTGGAGAAGGAGATGAGGCTTGGAGGAGTTGGTCCAAAAGATTGAGATCCAAAGATGAGTATTTACAGGTGAAGAACTCTTACAGTGATTCATGGGAGGCAGCACATGAAATCCTGGTTAGTGGCTCTGGTTCCAAGGCAACAGGCAAACATGCTGAAGGTTGCTTTCTGTAAACAGGTACGTAACAAAAACACAAAGGTAAGATTAACTCTGGGAGAGACAACAGGTAGCAGGCTGAGCTCATACCAAAATGAGGCGATGCTTCAGCGACGAGAAGATCTTCAGCACAGCCTTAAGAAGCCTTGGGATTGATGAGCCGATCTTCATGCAGGTGTGGGTAATCAGCGCTTAAGCCCAATCAGGGAGGCAGGGGGTGAAAACACCAAAATGCCTCAGTACACCCTCCTTAACAATCGCCTCCTGGCGATTCAATGTCTCTTTTCGGGGTGATCCCTGTAGAAATTTGTAATGAGGTCAGGATCCAGTATGAAGGACCTCGGAATCCAGGACCTTTCCTCCGGACCATAACCTTCCCAGTCAACGAGAAACTGATGTCCTCGTCCACGGCGACGAACATTCAGGATGCGACGGACTGTGTAAATGGGTTGATTATCCAGGAGATGGGTGGGAGGTGGGGTGCCGGCTGGGGGGCTCAGGGGACTGGTGGAGACGGGCTTCAGTTGTGAGACGTGGAAAGTGGGATGTATCTTCATAGCAGTAGGTAAACGGGGTCTGACAGCAGTTGGGTTGATGATCTTCTCCACAGGAAACAGACTGATGAATCTGGGGGAGAGTTTTCTAGGGAAATCCTTTTAAGTTAATGTCACATGTGGAGAGCCATACCTCTTGTCCCACTTCATAGGAGGGGGCAGCGAAGCGGTGGCGGTCAGAAAACTTCTTGTTCTGCTGTGCAGTGCGTAGAAGGGCCCTTTGAGTTTGACTCCATATTCGACTGCAGCGCTGGAGGTGGTGTTGAACAGATGGAACCAAATTGTCAAACTCGTCTCTGGGGAACAATGGAGGATCATATCCAAGAAAAGCCTTAAAAGGCAAATAACCAGAAGCGGAAGAAGTGTGACAGTTATGTGCATACTCCACCCATGTTAGATATTGGCACCAAGAGGAGGGATTATTGTTTATAACGCACCTGAGTGTAGCCTCCAACTCCTGATTGCATCTCTCTGTTTGTCCATTAGACTGGGGGTGATGTCCAGACATGAGACTGAC